TTTGCTCTACCTCGAAGATTTCTCCCAACAGGCACTGTGGTTGAACGAGGCAGGATAAAAATAGCTCAAGATGAATAGTCATGCCGTTGGTTGTGGCGGAGCGTCAAGCCACAAAGCACAAGGCTGGTGAATTAATTTTTTTAGGGGTGTGGGGACAAGAAATGTCTCGAGAATGGTTGGGATGTGGGATGCTGACAAATAGCAATCCTGTCCTCAACAATATCATGACACCATCAAAAATAGAGGACAAACAAGAATGTATATAACCAAGCTACAATGGAAAGTACTGTGTAAGTGTGTTGTGTGGTGTCAGACCATGAGTTGACATTAACGGTCATGTTGTATTATATAAGGCATTTATGGGATATATACAAGAGGAGGTGATATGTAAACTGGCACATTTACAGCATTTAACAGCACAACAAGAAGCACTGAGGAGGAGAAGATATGTAGATGGTGTGCTACATAAGAAATGCCCTTAAAGAGGAATTTCACTGATTTTTAAACATCGCTGCATAAGTCAGGGTTGGGCAGTGTTTATAGGGGGCATAAAATGTTGTAAATGACACAAAAGCATTTATGTCACTTCTGTTTTGTTTCATCTTGTATTATTGCAAAATCAAAAAAGGTTGGTTACATGGTCAACAAATCAGTGAACGCAGGGCAGGATTTTCAAGCAATCATTCTATAAATCATTTAATAAATGTCAAACCATCTATCTAACACCTGATAAATGTTAAATATTGCTGCCAGCTGAAAGAGGTGCTGGTTAGCATTAGCTTAGCTACTCATCACAGAGCATGTTCTAAAGCACAGATGCACAAGTTTAAATATAATGATTTAAATCTGAGGGTGTGAAATCGAGCAACTGGCGCTGACAGAGAGGTGAAATTAAACCTGTGCCATGGTGTTTGGATTTGCAGCCTGATCTGCTAACTTAATGTCAACTTAGCGAGCAGGCTAAAGACCCAAACAGTCCCACAAACCACAGTATGGGCTTGATTCTGATTAACTGGTACTCTGCTGAAACAAGTGTACATGATAAAAAATGTGTCTGAGAGAGCAAAAGTTGAGTGTTGGAGTGACAAAAAAACTGAAGTCGAACTTGTTCAGTGGTGTGTGGGACTGTAGAAATTTGACACATTGTCATTTTTAATGACATACCTTATTATCAATACACCGCCCTACCAACAATGCATGATTTCACATCAAACCACTGAATAACTTGAGTTTAACCAAGGTTTTAAACAAAAACGTGGCAAATTTCTGTTCATCGGCTGTTTTAACCAAGTCATTCAGTGATTTGATGTGAAATTATGTGTGTGTTTGATGTGTGCATTGTAGAGAACCTTAGACGTCTTCTCAACAGTGGTGACAGAAACCAGAGGTTGTGGTGTCTACAACACAATTATAGCCATTTCTATCGGAACTGACCAGTAAACCTACATATGTCTTCTGAGTTTTTATTTATTATTTATTATTATTATTATCATGCATATGTTCATAATGGTAAAATAGGGGTACATCTGAAATATAATATAAATGTAATATAACAATGCTTATTTGCACAACTGTACGAATGTTAATTTTTACAAATGTTCATATCATTCTGTGCTATGCTGTATATAATATTTATATTATTATTATATTATTTTTGCATGTAATGATTCTCCACCATGAATGTTTGTTCAAAAATAAGGTTTTGGCCAAAACCACATCTCAGAACTACTGTAAAACAATGTCTCTGGCATCAGGTACTGTATACATAGCCATTTCATGTAGTAGCTTTCTGTGAGTTAGCTTTCAGAAGCATTAAACGCTTCAGATGCCTGGTTCCTATCACCACCACTGTGAACAATTCTGACTTGGCAAGTTTCTCTAGAATGAAACATTTCTTGTTAAATCAAAAACAGAATTCAACTTCAAAAAGCAACAGTGGTAACAGCACATCCTATGAAAATTAATAAATAGGTTGCACACCGGAAACCAGTATGCATTTCTATTTCATGTCTTCCTCTCTCAAGGAAAATGTACTGGTAAAAAGTAGGGGCATCACGATCACTCAGTTAATTCTAATTATTCGATTTGCACAAAAATCATTACTCACGCATTTTTGGCTACATAGCTAGTGTTTTCAGATTTTTCTTAAAAATCTTTCCAGTAACATATTTTGAAGTCTGTGAAAAGACGCATGGTTTGTTACTGTTAAGTCATTTTTTATTTTGTTAATAAAAAAAATAAACTGTAAAGTCCTCGATAACAAATCTAATCAAAAGTGACAAAAGTGCCCAAGAAAGTGATATTTGTGCTTGTTGTTTATAGCATGTAGTTACATAACACTTAAAATTTTAACTTTTATTCGTTGTGTGGAAGCTGCAAGCCAGACTTATCTCCCAGTCAGTGATGAACATACAGTCTGAAGCAGTGATAATTAGACACTCTGGGGTGGTGCTACAGTTAAAAGGCTTGCCGTTAAATGCCAGGCTTAGACAGATGTCCTGTGAATGGAGCCCCATTAAAAGTGACTGACGCCCATTTTTCCACGACGAGAAACGAAGCCACACGTAGCAAACGTGGGCAATGCGGCTCGACGGACCAGCGTCCCCAAACGTAGAGCATGAATCAAGCCTGACGCACGCTCAGCTCGCTGCAACAAAAGACGCCGAGCAGCTGTTCCTCTCAGATGGGAGGCTGCAGTACATCTGCTTCAAACGATGAGAGATAAGACGGGCTCATAAATACACTGTACATGAGGCTACTATACCACTTTAACCACCCACTAAGACTGACTCACAGTTACACAGTGGACTTTTTGACACCTTTATACTTATACAAACAACTAATTCATATTTTACCCAGCACTGTGCAATAATACAAGTATTGTACAAGTACATACAAGTATTTGGAGCTCTATGAGGAATAACTGTAATAATTTCTTTTCCAGAACCTATATTATAAAACTACAAAATATAGCCTATATACTACATAGTAAAACGTACACAGGGTGTGGGAATAAGCAAAACCACACACTATTATGATACGTTGGGTGAAAGAAATCATTACATCGAGTCTCTAGTGCAGATACATTATTATTTAATTATTAACATTTTACATGTGTATTAAGCCCATTAATAGTCCAACTGATCACCATAATCCACTATAAATCGCTCTTGATAAGAGAGCCTTGCTAAAATCTAATTGTAGAAAAACTTAGTTTACGTTGCTCCAAAAATTTTCATGCCGGTTTGAATATGGTGTTAGTTTAATTGATTTAGAGGAAGCAGTTTGAGTTAAATAAACCAATTCAAGGAGCTAAAATTTACATTCAAAACAACAAACCGCAATATCACTATATGATATATCGCAATACTTAGCTTTAGGAATATGCATTCTGACCGGTTTGTCAGATATTCAGTGAATTGTTGGGAAGAAAAAAGCTTTTCCTCTGATATTAATCTAGTTACTCAATAGAATTAGTTACTGGAATATTCCAAGCTGTATCAGTTACTGCTAATTAAACATATGTAACTAAACTAAAAACTAAATGCAATAAATGCATCATCAAATATCAATGGCGTGATCTTTAAAACAACAATTGTTGGCTAGTAAAGATATGATTCTGACATCATCGTGCATCCCTAGTTAATCTATATGTTTATAATTATATCACTTACTTTTAAGTATTGCTTAATATTGTATTATTTCAGCTAAAAAACATCAGGGACAGGCTTAAACAAAGTGCCACGTTTTTGTTTTTTATTTTATTGTTACAGCTCTACACATTTAGAAGCTGCTTTCTTAACACCCTTGTTTGTAAAGGTCATAATGACTTCTGTGGCAGAAGTCAGGATTGCTGAAAAGGGAACAAATGGGTAATCAATGATTTTAAAAGCCTCAAGGAGGGCCTTGGCTTGATTAAAATCGTTCTGGACACTCAGTCAGTCAGTCACACATAACTCTACAAATAATATTACAGGCAAGCCACTTCCCGGAATCAATCTGGTGAGTCCAGCTCAGCTCTGACTGTAACCCTGTGCAGTGAAACCTCTGCTTTTGCACTTGCTCCGGGCTACTTTCCATATGTATTAGCCAGGCTGGTGGGACAGACACCATAGTAGGTCTGCAATATCACCTCGGACTCTGAAACAGGCATTTCAAATGAAGAGAGGCACGTCATAAATCAAGGCCCACTCTACATTTTGGAGATACGTTTCATTTGAATGTACAAAAGCATCAGTGAGGCTTTTAACTTCTATGTAATGTTTCAGTACAACAAATTAGAAAATATAAACTGAAACACCACTATCAGGCTGATAAACAGTATGCTAACCTGACCTTTAATGAACATTTAGCCTATTTCAGTCACATTCAGGGACCACCTGGTTTATGTGTTGAAGCCATTTCAATTCAGAATAACTGATTTGTTTAGGCCAGGTCAGACAGGGATGGTTTTTATGATTTTCACTGGACAAACTATACTGATATGTGATTCTGCATTCTACTCTATGAAAGCTACATCAGTGATATTGCAAAGACAGCCATAGTTAGTCATGTTTAAAAAGTATGCAGGCTAGGCCAAGAGAAGCACCCGTGTGATGCCATATGGATGCACTGTACACTTGGAAGTGCTATGTATGATTCACCATGGCGTTTGTGTTTGCCAACACACACTTAAATAACCTTCTTATCAACGACTTAATAATCAACCATGACGATTTCAACTTCTGCAGATCTCTGTTCTTTGTTATATATCGTGGCACATTCAGATGACTTAAAGTTACATGCCAGTCATGAAACAACAGCTGAATATCATCTGGGATTAAGCTTGAACCGCAGTCTCGTCCAGCTAGAACATTTAGCAGGAACTTGAAAAGCACTTTTGCAGGTGCTCTCAAAGGTTTTTCATATACAGATTGAGGCAGACAAAATAAGCAAAAACAGACAAGAAAATGTCTCACCATCATGAAGGACATACAGTCCTTCTCAAAAACACCACTCACCCAAATCTGCAGCTTGATCCTCTTGTCATTCTTGTACACGGTTTTGACTTTGAAATCGATGCCCACCGTGCTGACGAACGCTGATGTGAAGGAGTCGTCAGCGTATCGGAAGAGAAACGACGTTTTCCCCACGCTGCTGTTCCCGATGATCAGCAGTTTGAACATGTAATCAAAGTTCTGGTCTGAGCCCTCTTTCTGAGCCGCAGCCATCTGCGCCAAGGAAAAGACAATAAAAGAGGCACTTTCAATACATGGTTTAGCATTTCAAATGAGGATTACATGTGCACCATTTCATTTGCATCTAATATTAATGGGCTCCAGTTCATAGCAGTTAGTGAATGCACTCTGCAGCCTATCCATTGCCATCACAGCAATGATGACATAACATCAATATAGACTGAAGACCCAAGATGCAATGGTTAGTTAGCTAACTAAAGCCTAAACTCCAGGCTATTCAAGAACAAATGCGTGACAGAAAATCTTGCCTCAGGAAATAACATAAGATTCGGTCATTTATTCCTTCTAAAACGACTCATACGAGTACTTCTTTGTAGCATTACCATTTATGAGAGAATCCTTAAAAATGCGGAGAATGCAACTTCTGACAACAAGCTATTAAATGTGTTACACATATGCAGCTACTACATGTACTATTTACTAAACGAGATAAGTATTAATTATCGATTTTTTTTATTGACAGATCGAAATAGTACACACCTGGGCTATATCACAGATCAAATTTTAGCATTAATTCAAGACGTTACTTTAAACGACTGAAAAAATATTGCATCACGTCGAAAACGACGTTATATGTGCCTTTACCTCACAGCCATTAAAGCGCTGACGGGGAATATTCCCCCACCCCCCACTCACAGACGGGTGTTTTCTATCAACATTTAACACTGTCCGGACATTTCATTTTTATTTCCATTTCCCCACGACGTATAAGTCTCGTACACTGAGTAAATACTGACTAAATAATACATAGCGACATGGACGCCACCGTTGTACAAAATTATCAGTTATGCTATCTCTATTCTAAAACGTAAAGGTACGTCAGAACCGACCGTTTTTTCACCGTTACGACTGTCTATTCTGACTAAATGAGAGTCAAATAAATGTGAAAAATACATAAACACACTAACCTGCATGGACCCGTCCTGCCTCATGCTACGAACCCCAGTTTTTTGGCACTAATAGCTTTACTAAACCCAGTGATGCTCCGGCTCCTCCGCGCCCTCTGTGGAGCAGCAGCTCCGTCCTCCTCTTTCAAAGCCATGGCGCCACGTGACCGAGCGCGTTTACTGTCAGATCATACGTCACCGAACACATGCTGGGATTTGTAGTTTTTCAGGACTACAAATCTTCAGGCTTAAAGCCGTCATTCCGATTTCCGATTTGTTTTACAGTTCAAAGTACGACATGAACATTGTCAACAAAATAGCTGACGACTGGCAGCATTCTTGATTCATCTTGTTTTAGTTTTAAGGACACCGGATCGCCTGTGTCAGGCTGTTTTTTATTATTTGACAGTCATGAATATGAAGCGATGAACCCGCCGATATGTAAACAAATATTCCGCTATTGCTTGTCTTCTCCAGTTCCGTTGCTTTGTGACCTGTCAGCCGCATTAAATCAATCTGCCAAATCCATCTGCCGAGACCGACTTCTCTACAGATTCTCATTTAACAGCGTAGCCAACTAAGGTAAAATCAGAGAAGTAGAAGTAGAGTTTCTACACTATACTAGAACACTACTCCTACATGTAATAGTAACGCTTAGCTTTATGTCCATTTTTGCTTTAAGATAACGCTTACAAGGCTGGAGTTGGCTTCACATTTTCCGTTCCTCCTTAAATGGTGCGCAGTTATACATTCTGGAGTCTGTAGACGCAAGAACGTGAGCTGCTGCAGCACTTAAGGTAGGACGGCGGAAATACGAGAAAGAGAAGTTCAAGGTCGCCTTAGGAAGTTTCAGTTTGCAGTTTGTCCTGGGCATGTTTAAAGGAACGATGGCTTTAATGGGTTGGTGAAGTGTGGACTTAACATATGCTACATACACGTGAGAAGGTACAGACGTTACCTTAAATAACCCTCTGTGCAAAATGCCGTTACAGCTGCTGTTGTGCGCCCTCTGCTGGCCAGTTGGATTTGTAGTGAATAAGAAATCACGCTTTTTTAGCCATTTTACACAAGAACGTTTACTCTCATATTAGTACTGTACTGCTCATTATCTTAAACTTAAAAGTCTTTATTCGTTGGAGATTTTAGGAGTTAGTATTTATTGAGTTGTGGAGATCTTTTGCTTATTGTGAATGGAGATCCAGTGTCTACTTTCAATACATGTAAAAGTAGAGTTTTTTTTTTTTTTTTTTTGACAAAGATTGACTTTTTAGGCTTAACTTCTAGAGCAGGCTTCCAGTTTTTCTCAAGATCTTTGACATTAACTTGTTTGAAGCATAGTTTTGTTTCTCCCCTATGGTGACTTGAATTTGAAGTTTTTTTTTTCCTGACCAGAAAAAGATGAGTTCCCCATTTGAGTCTTGGTTCTCTCAAGGTTTCTTCCTCTTGTTCTTAGGGAGTTTTTCCTTGCTGCTCTCACCCTTGACTTGCTCATTTGGGGCTTGGATCCAGTATTTCTGTTCAGCTGCTTTGAATAAAATAGTACATAAAGAAATCTTGGTTTTGGATTATGTGTTAAAAGGGCATTCTGGCCTAAAACTAACATTTAATGTTGTCATGTTATGCAGTGTTCAGCAATGCATCTCTCAGCCTTATTAGATTGACAGAATTCACCACTGTCTTCCATCAGTGTTTTCTCATTACAGTACCCAGCATGCATTGCGCAAATACATGATAAAGCCATTGAAAATCCCTTCCACAGTGACAAAGAAATACATTATTGTGGAGGCTAATAAATATAGACATGGTATTTGCCTTCCTAGCAGTAACTTTCTCTATTTAGCTTCCTGGTAAGGGAAAAAAAGCAGTCTGCCCTCATACATCCACCCTGGAGCGCTTGTAGTTTTTCAAAAGTTCCTACCCCCTTTTAACTATGTCTTAAGAAGGGGGATTACTTCGTTTTTAACCAGAAAATCTCAGTTTGGGGCTAATGTAGTAGCACTGTAGTATGTAAGTAAACTTATTTACAACAAATGTAGCAATGGTTCAGTTTTTTATTTTGGCCAAAGTGCCCCTTTAAGATGTCTTAGATTTAGTTTATTTGCTAATATTATGACATTATATTATGACATTGATATTTACGGGCCGATGACCAATTTCCACACTGTGTAGACAATGAAGTACAACCCCATTTCCAAAAAAGTTGGCACGCTGTGCAGAATGTAAATAAAAATAGGATGCAATGATATGCAAATCATGTAAACCATATTTTTGAAGGAAAGTACTACAAAGACAACAAATGTTGTTTTTTGAAAAATATATGCCCATTTTGAATTTGATGCCAGCAACACATTCCAAAAAAGTTGGGACAGGGGCATGTTTACCACTGTGTTTCATCACCTCTTCCTTTAACAACACATTTGGGAACTGAGGAGACCAATTGCTGTAGTTTTGAAGTGAAATGTTTTCACATTCTTGTTTGATACATGATTTCATCTGCTCAACAGTTCAAGGTCTCCTTTGTCGTATGTTTCATTTTATAATGCACCAAATGTTATCAGTGGGTGACAGGCCTGGGCTGCAGGCAGGTCAGTTTAGCATGTGGACTCCTTTAATATGGAGCCATGCTGCTGTAATACATGCAGAATGTGGTTTGGTATTGTCTTGCTGAAATAAGTAAGGCTTTCCCTGAAAAAGACGTCATCTGGATGGCAGCATATGTTGCCAAAACCTGTATATACCATTCAGCATTAATGGAACCTTCACAGATCCCACAGATCACGTCACCCATGCCATGTGCACTAATGTCCCCCTGTACCATCATGAATACTGGCTTTTGAACTGTGCAATGATAATAAGCTGAGTGGTCTTTAGCCCGGAGGACACAGTGTCCATGATTTCCAAAAAAAATTCAAACGTTGATTTGTTAGACCACAGAGAGAGTCTTTTAATGATATTATGTACCGTAGATGATGAAAAACAAAAGTTCTCTGCTGTTTTATATTGAGAAACATTATTCTTGAATTGTTGCACTATTTGATCCTGCAGTCTTTTACAGAGTGGTGAACCCCTCCTCATCTTTACCTCTGAAAGACTCAGCCTCTCTGCTCTTTTTATACCCAATCATGTTACTGACCTGTTGCCAATTAACCACCAGGTGTTTTTTTTACCATTACACAACTTTACCAGCCTTTTGTTTCCCGCGTCCCAACCTTTTTGGAACGTGTTGTTGGTATCAAATTCAAAATATGCAAATATTTTTCAATAAACAATACGATTTCTCAGTTTCAACATTTGATATGTTGTCTTTATGCTATTTTCAATAAATACAGGGTTTAAATGATATGCACATCATTGCATTTTGTTTTTATTTACATTTTGCACAGTGTCCCAACTTTTTTGGAAATGGGGTTATAGTATTCTATTCTGTACTATTCTATAAGTATTTTAAACTTGCCTTGTCTGAAACATTAATCTGTTTTTTTGTGTGTGTGTGTGTGTGTGTGTGTGTGTGTATGTGCGCTAGCACAGGCTTGCAGTTATCTTCAATAAACAGTGGGAACCCAGCCTGTACTCTTTCAGACTCCATGTATTAATCTGCAGCTGGTATGGAGGACTCTATCGAGGTCATTCTCCAGGACCAGAACTCCAAAGTACTTCACCGTTACCAGGACAACCAGATCCTCACCTTGGTGACGGGAGCTGTCTTCTCTGGCGTGTACGGGCTCTGGGCCATGTTTTGCATGCCTGGACTAAAAGTGCCTTTGCGGCTAAAGGTGCCCTTCTTGCCCTCCACAAACGTGCAGACCAAGAATGTGATGAAGATGCTGGATGGACGGCAAGGCCAGCTGGCTGACCTGGGCTCAGGAGATGGAAGACTGGTGTGTCTCAGACCAAGTACTCCCATACTGTACTTTTAATGCAATTAAAAAATACAGACCTCTAGTTTCTATAATCGCCACTGTGAAGAGTTCTGACTCAATAAGTTTCTCTTAAAATTCACATCAGACCACTATGAATGACTGTTTACTTCTTAACAACTGAATGGTTTGACAAATGTATAGAATTCCCCTTTTAATACGTGGATGATGTTCTTGAAGCACCGAAAAATAGTGTGGAACATCAAACAGTCCTTGTGTTTCAATGTAAGACTATGCACTGTAATATAATGTTTTTCTTATTCTCACAGTATAGTTTTTTAAAACTCTGCTGGCTTTTCCCCTTCTGTTACATATGGCAGCCTGCAGGCTATAGAGTGCAAAGGGCCTGTCCCAGAAGGCACACTAAGCCTTGTGGCCCTCCTCAAAATTCACACTTCACTGATGTCAACAAAGTACGTATGTAGAGGGCAAGAGAATAGAGTGCTATGCTAAAACTTTAGCATAGACTCGTCACACGGGCTATGGACCTTTGAAGTCATGCGTCATTCTGTCATGTGTGTCATGTCAATATTAGGAAACCCCGGTCTAAGCTGATTTTCTCTATGACAAAAATCAAGTTTTCGAAAATGCTGTCACATCCCATGGTTAAAAAAAGCTGATAAGCGTTGTCCTATTTACATTTTTTTCTTGTTCATCACTGAATCTTTTGAATTATGAGGTCGTTATCAGTCAAAATACAAATAATGCTACATACATGCTACAAGAAAGCTAACAATCCTGCACACTGAAATGACGTTGCATGAACGCAACTCTTGTATTAAACTGCAACACTATTATATACCAACACCAGCTACTCAAACTCAGACTACTCCTAAAGCAATTTAACTACTACATTTTACAAAGCTGGCTGGTTTGTGTGGAGTATTTTATGTTGAGGTTGCCAGTCTCCCGACAAGAGTTTTTATCATGTATTCATATAACAGCGGAGCAGATGCAATCAAACCTGTACTGTGGTGTTTGGATCTGTAGGCCCTTAGATAAGCTAGCTAAATAGGCTGAAAGAGTCAGTTAGCATTAGCCTAGCTGGGAGGCTACAGAACATGTCTAATTTTGGCTTGCTGTCCTTCTAACACCAACCGCACGACTTCTCTTCCTCAGATTTGAGTCATTACCACACTTGCGTCATTGTAGCTTCTGTCAAACTTGAATGTGTTGTGAGGTGAGAAGAGCGAGTAGGCTGATTCTAACTAGCACCTCTTTCCTAGTTATCATTGCAGTTGAACATTTAGCAATTGTTTTCCAAGTAATCAGGGAAAAGCTATGTCATTGCATGCTACCACCAAATGGTTCTGTGGCTAAACAATATTTCAGGGTTCCATGTCCAACACAGTGTCTGTGTAGAAATGCCACTAGAACGGTTACTCTCCCTGTGCAGAACCATATGACCCTACAGTGGGAAAGAAGCCTGTTTTGGAATACCTACTTTTTTTCACTTGACATAAAAAAGTCTTAGGCCAACATATTGCCATATCTCTGCCAGAATCACCCAGATCTGTTTTAAAACATGGGCCAAATAAGCATGCTCTAATGTGGACCACTTTTGCAATTTGCCAGTGCTAACAGTAGGCCAGCGGTGCCATATGTTTGCCAGAAGTGGGCCACATCAGCATGCTGTCAGGGTAGTGCTTGATTTGAGATACCACCTTTGGACACTAGACAGTGAGATACACATCGTATAGTGAATGAATATAGTGCATAGTGCCTAAATTGGGACACAGGATAGAACCCACTTTAGTCACTTAGCAAAATCAATGAATAAATCAGAATGACAGTCATTTCAGCAAAATCTTTCGGTTGTAGGTATTTGCAGCATGCAGCGCAGGATTTCAGTGCACAGGATTTGAGATCAATTCCATGCTGTTAGCCTACTCCAGAGGCAGAGCGTGGTGGAGGGGTCTTCCGCACAGTAAAGCCACCTTTGTTAACCAGGATTTTTGGAAGGTATTCATGATGTCTATAGATTTTAAACTTGGTTAGATTCAGTGTTTGGCTTTTCTATGTAATGCTTTTATTACTGTAGGCTCTGTCTTTATGCAGACTGACCTGTCGAAATACACAAACGTGATTGCATTCCTGGCACCCACTGTGGTAAGTTCCTCCTAGAGAGCACTATTAGCTGAATATTTTTATTGTTTAGTCCACATGGGGGCACGACAGACCAGTGTTTAGAATTTAGAGCATTGCCTCTATAACTGTATTTTATATATATGTATGATTTAAAAAAAAGGAACAAAAGACACAATACAGGCCCAGTTTTTTACAATCATGGGAGTGTTGACATAAAAATCAAAAATCACATTTACACAATTTTTATCATTTGTACAATGGAATGTACCGCTGTTGCACTTGATCAGCCAAGACATATTTGTTGCCTGAAGTTTACTTTTTTAGTTTTTGCACTGGAGCTATGAGGCAAATGTAGCTAACAAGTACTGGAAAGGTTAGGTTAGGTTAGCACAGTGCAATCTGCATGCTTAAATTATTATTGCTACTACTATAATTAGCTATGCATACAGTTATTTTTTGTCCATTTATAAACATCACAAGTCTATTTCAGACAACTTGACACAGTAAATGATTTAGACATGCAGTTTGCACAATGATAACCTATAACTTTAGCTTTCCATTGGCCTTTACATTACCATTTCATTGGCCCTGTAGCTCCACTATAAAACTTATGTAACTTCTGACACCCCAACATGTCTTAACTGATGATCTACACTTGTATGGTAAGGAGGGAATGGTGTAAAATAGGTGTTTGGCCAAGCTATCGCTTTAATGTCATGTTGACTGTCAGAGACAGTGCTCAGGGTGTATAATGATGACCTTTGTGCTTCACCGCTGTAGGAAAACCAGAGCCTAGCACAGCAGTCTTGTTGCATGTCACAGTCCATACACCATGTTGCATTTTGTCTCGTCAGATGCAGGATCTGGAGGAGAAGTTGCTGAAGGAGCTTCATGGGGATGCCCGTGTTGTAGTGTGCCGCTTTCCCTTTCCACGTTGGCCCCACAGCTGTACTACAGGCGCTGGATTGGACCAAGTCTGGGCTTATGATGTCTACACAGCACGACACAGAGCCAACACTTCCTCTCTGAAACCTCAGGGCTAAATTGGACATTGCTTAACAAATGTGTTGCTTGACACTTAAGTGTGTTCACCCACTAGTGCAAAAAGAGTCTGATTCTCATGCAAGCTTATAACCTGATGTAACTCTCAGTCCCATGAGGTGAGGATTTTTTTTTGTGGTTGTTATTAATATGTATCTTTTTAAACTACTCGTAAACGTTATTTAATAGAAAAGTATGAAGGATACAGTTAGATCCACTTGAGCACTTGCAAGTAAATGTAATACATGAGCTTGCTTGATGTATTAGCCATTCAGTTGTCTTGCATTGTAAGGGTCGTAATTGGCATAAATGTTGTTGATGTCCAATGAACTGTATGATAGGTAAACTCCTTCTGCAGTGCTCATCCTCATGGAGGCCCTATGAATCTTTTGGATTTGAGGCTTCACATTTTCATAGTCAGGTTCAGAGTCTTCATCAGTTTGGTCGTCATCTTGAGATTCATACTCATGTTCAGAGTCTCTGCCATGTTGAGATTCATAACTATGTTCAGAATCTTGATCATGTTGGTGGCCACCTTCTGATTCATAGTCATGCTCGGAGTATCGATTGTTTTCATCTCGAGGTTTGGGAAACGAAGACTGGAAAACAACTGTTCTCCTTCTGCGCCTCCAACACAAAACAATCAATCCAACACCTAGGCCGAACAGTACAGCTGCTACTACTGGTCCACCAAATGTGAAAATCTGTGTTATATTGTTTGAGTCGGTGGTGTTCTTTGACATGGCTGATGATCTGTGGCCTGTTGGCTTTGACAGCTGATGACCAAATTGAGATAGAAGAGAATAAATACATACATTTGTGAAATGTGTATTCTTGCTTTTTATTGCTTTTTGAGTTTAGACAAACTATGAAAGCTGTCACTCTCTGGAAGCTAAAACGAACCTCGAAACGGCAGAATGTTTTGCGATGATTTAAGTTGTCAAGTTATTTAATTTGCAGTCTTTCACTCAAAAATCATACCATCTTAATATGTTCCAAAAATCTTAAACATTGTTGCCTGACATCTGAACATCCACATTAAACAGTTTCAGTTCTTTCTCAACATGGACCAGTATGTGAAAGAATTAACTGCACAACAAAAAAAGAGCTTTACCTCTCTGTAGTCTCCGTGAGTGCAGGAAGTAGAGTGGTGTAAAATTGGCCTTGCGTGTGACATTTGAGTGTGTGGTATGAGTGCAGCCACATGTCAATGCTTGGGTTCCTTGATTACTGTGAAGACATTGTAACCAAGGGACCCTCCTCAGGACTGTTACTGCTTTTACTGCAGTCAGAGTAAGAGTTTGGCTGTTTGTTAAAAGTTTGAGATCATTTAGTAGAGATCTATAAAATTATTTCCACTGTTTATGTAGCGTATAGTAGAGGTCAATAATTGTTTTCCATGATGTTTGGAGAATATGTGCTTCTGTTGCTGCTTTATATTATATATGGGTCATTTTTATAAAAATACCATTAATATCTGAGTATCATAATTATGTAGATAAACAATAGAGTAAATAAATTGGAGTGCTTTATGGTACAATTGGTATGGGATTTTTGCATTGTTTTTGGCATTTTTTTACAATGATAATTTGGTCATTTAAGTTTCTAAAAATAAATTTAATATCAATGACCCCTGCTAGAAAAAACAGCATAGACCAGCATTGCTGTGTATTGTTTTGGATGCTTGTGTGCTGGTCAACCAGCATCACTATGCTGGTGTGTCCAGCTAAACCAGTACCATACCAGCTCTAGACCAGTATGAATTGGGCTTTTTTTTCCATTCAGGGTTACTTTAAATGATTCCACCAGGCATCATTTTTTTATGTATATCAAAAACGAAAACAGTGACTTTCAATCTTTTTAGTTATTTTTTCATTTTGGGTCGTGTTTAGTGAGAATAACCTCTTCAGAGCCAGTGGCTAGCGTGAGGACAGTTGTTAGAGTAAAGTACCACAAGGCACCACGAGGGTGCGCCGACGCGCTTTCAAATCGTTAGCAAACTGAGGCTCTTCAGAACCGCTGTTCTAAAACATGGCCACGGTTTTGTTACATAGAAGCATTAAAACGTTAAAACGTTGCTTTCATATAGAACATCCTGGAACTAGTCACATTTTCCAGTACCTTCTGTCCTGTAACGACACAGGCTGCTGTGTTCATGTTGCAGTTCGTCAGCTTTCTACACGTCTCAGCCTACTCTGAATACATTACCACTCTGAGCCAGCGTGGTTACACACAACCCCGCAGCCTTAAAGGAGAATTCCCCCGAATCTTTGAAAAATTCTGCATAATTTTATCATTAAAATGTAAACAAAGTCACTCAGATTGATTTGCTGTTAAATGCTCGGTTCTAGAGAAACAGAATTGTTACAGGAACCAGATGTCATTGGATAGGAATCTATGATATTGTTTTACAACATTTTTGAGGTGAGGTTTTGCCCTGAAATACATCTTTTAAAAGACACTGTAGACATGATGGAGGGCATTATACGGCAAAATAGTCCCCAAATAAAAAACATACTGTCCAAATGTACTACTGTGTTAGCATCATTAACGTTACATAGAAAAATTCAGGTTCACTGGTGGTTTTGGATAGTAAACAAAATGTCTATATTTGTGTTGTAGACATTGTGACCCCTGGTTCCTATCATCCCTGCTGTAAAGAAATTCTGCATTGGTAAGTCTCTCTGTACTGTGCCATTTCACATCAAAACACAAAATGACTGTGTTTAGATCTCAAATACTGAAATATGCAGATATTTTGAAAAATTGGTGGAATTCCCCTATGCACAGCAAGCACATACATATTTTGCAATAGAATGAATATAAATAATAGAACTTGGACTTCCAAAGTGAGTGCTAACTGAATGTTTTTATACATTTACAAAAATATGACAAATGAGATAAAAGAGTGAAATAAGCCTCAGAGCATAACAGTTTTCTTGTATTTTTTTATGTGAATACTTTTATACATCTTTGTTTCTTCCACCTATGTCCTGATGAGGTGAACATTTGTATACTAGCTACATAACTAAACTCTAAATACATGCACATTGTAAGTTATGCAAGACTGAAGTATTAAAGCATGAAATTAGTGAAAAATACTGTTCCCTGACATTTAATATTTAATTTAATATTTAAAGCAAACATAAACATAGTAACAATTAAAACTGTGCTGGTGTCTATTCAACCATGTGTGAAACGTGCATGTATGATCCATATATGTTCAATATTTGACTTGCGTACACAACAAATATGTACATATATTTTGAAGTATACGCTTGACCCTTTATGATGAGTCCATAGATGCCCACATATCTGATTTTCGTATGAGATTAACAGCATGACGTACGAATTCTTGACAGAAGGTGCAGCTAAAACTGTGTTTGGGAATTTTACTTTTACCTCATTTGTAAGAGGAATGTATTATGAAGAATCTTCAAATGAACTTCTCTGACGTTGTTAGGGATGCCGAATTTGTGTGGTAAAAGTATGAAATGTGCTCCTTATTGTTTTATTGCCACAGTTTGAACGCTAACCAACACCTTTGACTAAAAACTGGGAGAAGTCATTTGCATTCCGCTCGTGCAGAGACGTGACGTAGCGAGGGAAAATAAAGGGGCAGGGCTTCGTCTATAAGACTCGGAGCGCACCACTTTTCCCTCAGAAAGGAGGTTTGAGGAAGACCGAGCGGTTATGGATATACTCAGGACTATCGCCCATCAGCCTGGAAATAACAGCAAAATGTGTGAACACACGCACAGCAGACCTTCTGAGGCGAGACGTGGGAAACTGGAGGACAGTTCACATGCAACACAGGAGATGTCACGTATCATATCGGACTCCACAACTGGGAAATGTTACTGTAGGGGAAAAGTTCTTGGCAAGGTATGTTAAGAGGAGTTAGACATGCTAGCACCTCTGTAATATACATGTACACCTGGGGCTAGGAAAGGAAGGAAACGCCTTTTGGAACTATTTTTCCAGCTTAGTTCACTATGGAATCAAGTGCTTTAGTCACTGTGTTTTATTGTGATGGGGACACTCTCACAGATCTTGACCTGTTGTCTTTGTGGAAGCCCCTCATAGCCTAAAGCCTATGCTTGGTTTCTGTTCACAGGGTGGTTTTGCCAAATGCTATGAATTTACTGATCTGGGCTCAGGCAAAGTCTATGCTGTGAAAATTATTCCACACACGCGTGTCTCCAAACCTCACCAAAGGGAAAAGGTATGATTTATTTCCCTCCTGCTTACTCACTCCCTCACTCTCTCCCTCCCTCACTCCCTAACTCAGAATACTGAATTGTCTTTGAATTGTTTTACAGATTGACAGAGAAATTGAATTGCACAGAACCCTTCACCACAAACACATCGTCCAGTTCTACCACCATTTTGAAGACAAAGACAACATCTACATCCTTCTTGAGTACTGCAGTAGACGAGTGAGTTTTATCAAAATGGACAGTGTCTTGTACTCAGATACTCTGCTGCAGATGATCTTTGACTCTGTGCTCTATGACTAATAGTCTGTATTTTTTTTTCCCCCTCTCCAGTCACTGGCACACATTCTGAAAGCCCGCAAGGTGCTCACAGAACCTGAGGTTAGGTACTACCTAAGACAGATTGTGTCAGGACTCAAGTACCTCCACGAGCAGGAAATCCTCCACAGAGACCTTAAATTAGGTAGAAAACCAATTCAAAACCAGTTATTGATTTGCTACCAATAATTTCACCACTTTTTTTTTCCTACATGTAATCTCAAGAACATAATTTGTAACCACTAGTTCTGGTCTTCACAGGAAACTTCTTCATTAATGAGGCGATGGAGCTGAAAATAGGGGACTTTGGTCTGGCAGCTAAGCTAGAACCGGTCGAAAACCGGAGAAGAACAATATGTGGGACCCCTAACTACCTATCTCCCTGAAGTCCTCAACAAGCAAGGGCATGGCTGTGAATCGGACGTTTGGGCGCTTGGCTGTGTCATGTGAGTTACAGTAGCTAAACTGCTGGAAGTTGAAGGGAAAGCACATGAACTTGTCCTTGACATGAATTGTCCTTGATTGACTCTACAGGTACACCATGCTGTTGGGCAGGCCTCCGTTTGAAACCACCAATCTTAAGGAGACCTATCGGTGCATACGGGAAGCACGTTACTCCATGCCCTCCACGCTGTCGCCGCAGGCCAAGCACCTCATTAGCAGCATGCTGGCCAAAAGCCCGGAGGACAGGCCAAGGCTAGACGACATCCTCCGCCATGACTTCTTCAGCCAGGTATGTGTGATCGCCCCTTATGGATGACGGACAAAATGGCATATAGATTTTGTAGGGGTGGGTGATATGAATTTGAGTTTCTATTGCAAAATGTTTTATATAATACGGGACAGGTTACACTGTTGTACACTTTTATTCTGGTATATCTCTCACTTCTAGCTTTGTAGTCATCTTGTGTTCTGTCTTATTTCAGGGTTTCACTCCAGACAGGCTGTCTTCCAGCTGCTGCCACACAGCCCCTGACCTCCAGCACACAAGCCCTGCCAAGAGCTTCTTCAAGAAGGCTGCGGCAGCTCTGTTTGGTGGCAAGAAGGATAAAGCAAAGTACTTTGAAACACTAAGTAAGTACTTCTACTTCTTGAATAATGGCTGTGCATTGCAACCATTTTTCCACAGTTGTGTGTTCAACCTATGAGTAAATTTAGGTTTAATATCCCTGTTCTTTTCTTTGTCCTTTGCAGATAAACTAACAAAAGAGGAAGAGGACATCCATAGACTGCGACATGACTTTAGGAAGGCCTCAATCAGCAATCAGCCTTGCAGACAAGCTCCTGAGG